CTGGCAAGGCTAAAGGAGGAGCGATTTTGAGAGATAAAAATGGAGATTTTGTCTCTGCTATAAGCTTCCCCCTGCAAGCTCGATCTCCCCTGGATGCAGAAATTCGAGCTATCCTCACTGCGTCTAAGTGGGCGATTGAAATTGGGCAGGATGGCTTCTATGTGGAATCAGACTCCCTTATGGCGGTTCATCTTATCGCTAAGGAAGAAGGAAGACGATGGATCGATGTATTTCAGGAAACTTCACAGATGAAAAATAGGCAACATATATCCTTTGGGCATATAAGACGAGAAGGAAATTGGGTTGCGCATTTTTTGGCCCAAGAAGAGGTTGCAAGTCTGGTCCATTATACTCATATTGATCAGCTTCCCTTATTAGCTAAACGCTCTTTTTGGATTGATTTTTATGGCATTCCTTCGGTTAGAGACTAGATTTAATTTTTTGTTTCGGGTTAGGTTTGGTCCCCCCGATTGTATTCGTTTTGGACCTCCATTAATAAAACATCGGTAAACGACTCCCGGCGTTTACCCCACTGATTTTGGTGGTTTACCTTCTGGGATAAAAAAAAAAAAAAAAGAAAGATCTTCTACATTTTATTCAGACTCTTGCAAATTTTCTATTTGTTCCTTTCGTCCCATAAAACATTCCTATCAATTTGTCTTTCTGAAACTTGAAAAAGATTTTGTAAAGGGTGAGTAATGTCTTGAATTTTATGACTTTTGTAATTTAAAGATGTTTTCATACTTTGATGTATTTTACTTAAAATTTTATTTAAATAACATTATTGTTTTCTACTTCTAAAAAATAAATCTAAGATTTATAGATCAAATAAAAATTAAACATGTGAAATTGAATCAAATCACATCAAACACAAGGATAAAGAGTTGTGCACCCCTGGTCTAAAATGTAAAACGAAAAATACTCCGTATCATTTTATGCCAAGCCAAGGCTGATTGCTCTGATCTTAACTGACTAGTTGCCAAGAAGGCAAGAACTCATGTGAGCACTCTTATCTCATTACGTTTTTCCCAGAAAAAGCCAAAGGAATTTCATCAAACAATTCGTTTAGTTGTTCGCATTTTACTTGTTAAAAAGTATATGCAATTTCGTGGGCTGTTCTTCCACATTCACAGTGGAATTTAGGGTTTCCGTTCGCCCATAGTTATCGTCCTAGTTGATGCCTTGGTTATGGATCAAAAGGTACGCTATTTATTGATTTTGATTGCGTATTGTTGTTATTCTTGTTAGTAGGAATTTGGTATATTCGGATCGGTAGAGTAGACAATGCTGGAGTTGTAAGGTTCAAGATTTCGATCTTGATCTGAGTGTGACTTGCGGGTTCGAGCTCAAAGCTTTAGCGCTTTAGCTGCGATGGAGTTGGATTGCGAGTGTTCTGCATCTCAACCCGTGGAGGCGGGTGAAACAATTGCGAATACAAACTCTGACAAACCTGTTGTTGGTGTTGATGATATAAAACTGAAAGATTATAAAAATAATCGTAATGAGCGTATTGATGAATCGATAGAAACTACTGGGAAGGCAGCTGAAATCACAGAGGAGCCTGTCAAATCGGCTTCTGCATCTGCAAAGGGTTATGGATTGAAGAAATGGAGGAGGATCAGGAGGGAGGAAGTATGTAATGATGGAGATAATAGCGCAGGTGGTAGTAAGTTGATTATGAAGCGTGGTCTGTCTGTTTCCCATAACGACTCTGCAAAATCTGTGCATTTTCAAGGTGAAATCTCACAAAAAAGTGATGACACTGTTTCATTCCCTAATGAATTTGTTAGTAATCTGGGCATGAATTGTAATTCACTGGCTTCCTATGGTCATGCTTTCTTGGCTGGTGCGGATTCGGAGAACAGTGAGGAGGATAGTAGTAGCAAGTCTTCAACTGCAGCTAGTGCTCCACCAAATAAGAACAACTTGGTTAATATTAATCGAAGAAATATTGGCGTTTCATCAGTTCAGAAGAAAGCATCACAGCCGAGAATAGCTGTGATAGAATCTAGTAAAAAACATAGAGGCGAAAGGGTCAAAATTGAGAAGGAAAACTCTTATTCCAGCATGGAGTCCGACTCAAGAAGCTCCAACTTTGTGTTTATGCAGGGCACTCGTTGTCTGAAAAGTCAGAATGGGACAAGAGCTAGTGATGAAGGTATGGACGGTGAAGGAAAAGCTAGTTACAATGAGGGAAATAGTGGAGAGTATGAAGATGTATTGCAGGAAGGTCTATCTGCTGAATCATCTTGGGATGGAAAAGAGGGAAAAAATGAGAACCAAGGTACACCAACCAATTATGATCCTGTGGTTGAGTCAATCTTCAAGCTCCAAGCTGCAAAGGAAGCATTAGAAAGGGGTCGGTCTTCCTTCCATCCATTTTATAAACTCGAGTAATAATGTGCATTTATTTCCTTACCTATTGTTTACATTGTGTGTTTTGCTTTTATAGTCATAGCTTTTATAAAAGAAAATATATCATGAGTCATGTACATGTAGGAATGATAGAGATGTATCATCACAATGAATAATTAATTCTTATGGTCATTGCTTGCGTGTGAGCACAATTTGGATTTATTAGCATTAGGATTCTTGGGTATTAGGAGTTAGTTGGGAAAACATTTTTGTCATTATTAATTACTAGATCTGTCATAAAAAAGCAAGTCATGTTTGAATAAAGTACAACTTATGATTTTGTGAAGTACAACTACTGTAAATCCACTTAATATTTTTTTTTTGTTGGATTAATTAAATTCATCATATGAAAACTTGTCTTGTGACTATTTAAAGAAAGTTACAGAAAAAATTGTTTCGTTTGATTAAAATTGGGACACCTTGCTCTAGAAACATGGCTCTTTTTAGGAAAGAGGGAGTAAAATATTAATGAGTTTCACGTGCAATATTTTCTTATGAGCACACTGATTGGTCACACTTCTCCTATTCTGTGATTATTCTGACTTACTTCTAGAGTGTTCTGCACTTGCATTACAAAGTTTTACATTCTGTGATGTCTTTGTTGATTTCTTTGAGATCTGGACTTACATCACACATCTTTTTGTGGGTTATGACTTCTTTTTCGGATGAGTAGATAATTAAGCTGCTCCATTGTTATACTGGGCGGTTGATTGGACATAATTTAGTTGCAAATGCTTTTCTCTTTGAGCAGAGGTTGAAAAGTTAAAAGAAATAGCAAAAGAAGACATTCTGGTCAACTTTTCATGTCAAGATGGCACTGAAGCTTCGAATTTCACTTCTATTGGTCTACATCAAGGCCCAAGCATAGCCCAAACATTGCAGTTCTCTACAGATCTGGAAACAGAACTTGAGGTCCTCTATAGACAGAAAATTGAAGCCGAAGTTGAGGTGTTGTTGTCAAAAGCTGCAGCAGTTGATCAAATTACTCTCTTAGAGGAGCAAAAGGCTTTAGCTTCAGAGCAAGCAAAAATTGCAAACAAACTGGGAAGTGCACAAGAAAAGGCTGTGATGCTGAAAGATGAAGCAGAAAAGGTGGAGACTTACTGTGAAAATATGGTTGCCACTGCTTATGACTCCTTAAGGCTACAGAAGCATGTCTATAAACATGCTTTTTGCCTCTTTTCACAGTTGATACTTCTGGTTATCTTTGTAGGGCTGTTTCTCTTTCGGTTGTCAATTCTTCATGGTGATGATGAGGTTGTACCAACGTGATTTCGAGGATGCTAGTTAGCCTTTTCCTGAACTCTTGTACTTTAACGTCCTAAAAGCAACCTTGAAACTTATTCACCTCCGTTTTCAAATCTATAATCTTGAAAGCGTGTGGATGTACTTTTGTTGTAATATACTATATTCATATCTCAGGGGATATTCTCCGGCTATGCTGTTTTGATGGTTTGAGGTTGAATTTGATTTATGACAGTTGATCATTTTGGTGATTTGTACATTATACTCCTAGTACATCGGATGAGGTTTCTCATCTAAAGAACATTGATCAATTCTTATACCAGGATTGTTGTTTCAACAACACTTTTATAGTAGCCAAAATGAGGAGCTAATGTTTAGTGCTCCCTAGTCCCTATGTTTGATTTTAAAGTTTTCCCATATCAAGGTTCTAATTCCAATCTAGGAAATAATTAACTCTTTGACTTACAACTGTATCTTCACACACACACACAAAACTGTATCTCCACATATTATGGTTAATGCACCCATAACAACACTATTATCATCAACTCCTCCATTATAAACTTATAATCACCATCAAAATTATTTCTCAAGTTATACTAAAATTACTTTATTTAACTATGTAGTATTACCTAAAGAATGTGTCACTTTTGATTCGTTTGAATATAAGTAGTGGTCTAAAATTCATGAGATGCAACATTTAACTTTGACCATTATCTTTGATAGAAGCAGTAGGTAACTTTTTCAAATGAATAGGCTTTAAATTTGTATACGGAAATGGTTGTCGAACCATGATTCATGCAATGAATTCGAAAGATTAAAGACCATATTATTTACATTTACTAATTTTTTGATATAGTATGTGACACCACTAATGAGCTGACATAGTATTCTTATATAAAATGTTTGATGTTGAAGCCAATATAATACAATTTTTATATGTTCCGCTCGTCGCTCTCTTTTTGTTTTTAACAAACATGCATATAGTTTGAAGTGTCCATGTAACATATGGAGTATTTTAGAAATACACTTCATGGGAGTTTACACTCTATACACTTCTGGATTTTCTCGATAAAACTTTTGACAATCAATAATTTTAAAAGTATTAGTTTTCCCGTTTTACCTTCGTATCATAGGTCTTGTGAAAAAATAACTCACTAACCTTGTATTAAGATATTTTTTGAAAAGGCCTTGTTTTGATATATGTTAATTGCTTTGCTTAGAAGAAGTCTAAACTTTATTTTTTTAAATGTCTCAAAAAAGAAATTCACCTATTTACATTAAAAAGATTTTTAATACGGAGTAGATAATATGACAATTAGTTTTTACTTCATTTAACATAAAATTAGAGTATTTAGGAAATCAAGACAAATGTTATCTTACATTGATACGGAGTACATGTTTGGTATTGTGTCTTTCGTTTTTTGTTTTGAAAAAAGAGGTCGGTATACAATTCGGAGTTATTTGTTTCTACGGTAAAAATCTGTCACTTTCCTCCTTATTTCCCATCAGGGGCGACTTACCTATGGATAAACCCATCCCTCACACTGATGCTTGTTGAGATCTGCGGTCGAAACCGTAATTCGCTATCACGCAAAACTAATTTGATTAATTTCTCTTTTATCGTGATTTCCAATTCGCTTTTTCGTGATCTTGATCGACGGAGCTAGACAATTTCGCAATTCGCAGTCTCGATTTTCTCAAAGGTCAGCTGTGCATGAAATCTGTGTTTGATTTTGGCGTAATTAATTCATCTTTGTTACGTTCTTTCATGTTAATTTAGTACGATTTTGTTTTAATTTTAGGGCGTTGAAGATTAACTTTGGTTCCATCCTTATTCCAGGTGGTTTATTGGTTTTCGGGTTTTTTATTTTCTCTGGAAGTTTGGTTTTTTTAAAAGGTCCTTTCTTTGCGTCAAATAGCAAGTAACAATTATTTAATTTGATATCCAGATTTCTGGATAGCTCTTTAATTTTGAGTTGGCTGTTATGGTCGGGTGATTGGATAGGGTTGAGTAGGTATTCATTGATGACGGCATATAAGATGAAGATTAGTACCTTCTATTCCTGAGTTTTTCTTTAACAATGGCGTGTAGTAGGCTTGAAATATTTTTTCCTGGATAGTTTAAGTTCTTTTCCATTTCAACTCTGGAGTTCTCATTATAAGTAACTTGCAGGGGTTTTGTTCAGGCCTTAATTTTTGTGGTTTTTAGTTAGGTGGTAGTGGCAGTAAATCATGTCTCATCAAGGGGATGATGCTGATTACATGGCTGATGAGTATGAAATGGAGGATGTCGATGATATGGAAGATGAGTTTCATGGCAGAGAAATGGCTGGCTCAGACTCTGATGTGGATGAATATGACTACATGGTCTGCACACATCCATGTGAAATTAAGTTATTATTATGTTTGGGTTTCTAGTATTAATTTTTTGTTTGTATTGTATCATTTAAGTCCATTCATTTAGACTGTTTGTTTCCAATATAGAACAACAAAATGCAAGACACATCTGCTGCTGAGGCAAGGAGGGGGAAAGACATCCAAGGGATTCCATGGGAACGACTTAGCATAACAAGAGAGAAATACAGAAAGACTAGACTTGAGCAGTATAAGAACTATGAAAACATTCCTCAATCCGGTGATATATCAGAGAAGGTATATGCCTTTAGGAATTCTTTATTGCTACATGGTTTATTTTGTGTGCCAGTCCTGATATTATATCCTTTTTTGGACAGGAATGTAAAACCACAGAAAAACGGAATTCATACTATGAGTTTAGACGTAATTCCAGATCTGTAAAATCAACAATTTTACACTTCCAGGTAATCACTTTTTTTGCACCCATTGATCGATACCCGATAGCAATGATGTATCATTCTTAAGAAAAAACTACATATGGAATTCATATCCTTTTTCTTTTCAATAATGAGATTTGCTTTAGTGTGATTCTCCGAGACTAATACTACGTATTTATCTGTAGTGCTGCTGGGTTCGTTGAATGATACTTTTAACGTGACATAAATCCATAATAAATATTCTGTAAACATGTAACTTGCTGGTTTGGACCATTTTTATATAAAATCCCTCAAGGCTTTGAAGCTATCTTTTGCTTTGCATATAGAAAGATAAAGTAGAATGGTAATATACTCTCTCCATCCCAATTTAGTTCACCTCATTTGACTTTAGGTGGAGTTTGATAAAATAAAAACGGTTCAGTTGGGATTTATGTAGAAAGGGAAGAATCAATATCAATTATTATTTAACTATTCTCTTGTTTAAAAAATAAGAATATTATTTTTGGAGGTTGAAAAGGGGAAGATGGTAAATTAAAAGGGTACAAAGGAAGTATGTTTAAGATAAATACCTAAATGGCTAAATTGTATATACATGATTGATCTATGTTGAATGTAACTAGGTTTTATAGCAGCTGGAAAAAGTGTGTTGAGAACTATGGAAAAAGTGTGATGAGAACTAAAGCTCGGAAAAGTACCCTGTGATTGGGAACTGTTAGGCTTTGATTTGTTTTCGTACAAACTGGAGTTTGTGGTATTGTGTGGTTAGCATGGGAGGTTTCTACACACTAATGTCGTTAAACCTTGCTGATGTGGCGCAGGCGCATATACAATAATATTTTGCTGATGTATTTTTTTCAATTTTGATCCTATGTGGCACCACGTGTCATCTAATATAGTAAATGTTACTGTTAATTCGGACCGTTGTGATCTCATAGCTTCTGCCAACGATTGCTGCCACCTCTACCAGCTAGCTGCTGGTCACGGTGGTGCTGGCTCGCTGCTGGTGCTGACACCCACTGTCACTGCCCACCACTGCCTACAATGGCTGCCAGTCACAGATTATATTTGCATATCTATATATTTATATATCAAGACTATAAATATATATATACTCCGTGATCATCGATCCCCCCTGTGGATCAATGTTTTGCGCATTAATGTTAAGAAAAATTAATTTTCTATGATTTTTTAACTAAGTTAAAATTACGTAGTAATAATAATATTAAGAACGTAAAAATTGCTAATTTTTTTTGGTTAATTTTAAATTTATTAATAGCAAGTGACTGTTTCTATGTAGTTATTTTAATGTAAATAATACTCCCTCCGTCCCACATAGTAAGATGCATTTTCCGTTTTAGGTTGTCCGAAAAACATGAACACTTTCCTAAATTGAACTCCACTATTTTTTTACTTTACCACTTTATCTCTTTATCTATCATTTCATCTTTTACCTTTCATGGACCCATCTTACTCTTTCTTACTTTTTGGAGGTTAGAATTGTAAAGCAATCTCTTTATCATTTTCTTTCTTAAAACTGGCATCAAACCCACATGTATTATGAGACAGAGTTAGTACGTTTTTTAGCATTTAAAAAATCCACCGAGATAATTTTCATATACCGTACCTATAACATTTATTTTTTGTAAACAGTTCCATGACCAGCAGCGTCACTCACGTCCCACAGTATTCGTAGGTTGTAATTATGTAGGCGGTGGTTGTGTATGAATGGTAACATTTATCACATGGTGCCATGTACGGTATAAAATGAAATTCAAAAAACCAAGCCAACAAAAAATTGCCAAATATGTGCCACATCAACAAAGATTTAACACTTGGCATGTTGACCCCTCTTATCCCAATGGTGCAATACCACAAACCCCGGTTTGTGTGAAAACAAACCAATAATCCCTAAGTCTAAATACGCCAACCACATGGTGCTTTTATGTAATTTTCCTCATATTTTTTATGTGAAAACCGAACACTGTTTATTTTTCTTGTGACACAGTTGAGGAACTTAGTATGGGCAACTTCAAAACATGATGTCTATCTTATGTCACATTTCTCTATTATTCATTGGTCTTCCTTGACTTGCACCAAGAGCGAAGTTCTAAATGTCTCAGGCCACGTAGCACCATCAGAGGCAAGTTTTTATGATGTTCTCTACCCATTTCTTCAAAGCCACCTGAGTGAAATGTATTATCTTCAGTTGGAGTCACAATCAACAAAATTATCTGAATTTTTCACTACAGAAACATCCCGGAAGCTTATTGGAGGGATTCACACAGACTCAAGTTAGCACTTTAGCTGTGAAAGATAATCTCCTTGTTGCTGGTGGGTTTCAAGGAGAGCTTATTTGCAAGGTATTATGGCCTTCATACCTCCTTGTTACTTCATCCTATTTTACATGACATGCTTGTGCAGTGATATAATATTTAAAAAAAACATTCAATTTTTATAATACTTAACTGCAGTGTGTCTATAATATTCTGATTTTATACTTTTGTTCCATGTAAGTATATATATATATACTTTTGGTTCCTATAATGTTTTATTGTTTTTGTCCCTGGCTCCCTATGTCACAATAAACCATAGTGTAATGGACTAGCCACATAACAGTCCATTTGGCATGCCGTGTTAACAGATGGACTGAAACAAATTGTCTTTTGATGCACCTCGTGTGATGCTTTATGCTTATAGTGTCTTAAAGCTTCTTTTTGCTGTCATGGATTCAACACACTAGTAGTGGGAAGTAGGACTAAGAACCTATGAAGCACAGAAACCCTCCAAACATGATGTTTCCCGTTTCCTCATTATTTTCACGTTTCCGTGCAACATAGCTAAGAACTTAGACATAAGAATAAATGAAAACAGAGGAGAAGAAGTACTTATTTTTCACGGTTTCACCTCACGTCGCCGATATTACAGGAATTGCTATGCGACCAACAGGACAAGATTATGTATTTGTAAATCACAAGTCATAAATCTTGTAGTTTGAAGAAATCATTGAAGGGTTGTCAAACTTAATTGCTTTCCTCAGATTTATCTCAAACCTTTCAAATGTGACCACTTTTTTCTCCCCAAGTAAAGTGAGTCACTAATCGTTCCAATCATTTAGCTTACTCGGCTTGGACTAGGTCTGAGCAAGAAGTTCTTTCCTGGTATGCGGCGAGTGCTCGTGGTTGAACGACTTAACCTAAAATACAACATGACAAAATTCTCATAAATGATAGTTGTGGATTGAAGGGGGTAGGTAAATGTGGGTGCACAGCCAAATTAGCATTATGTTTGTGTAGAGTTCTGGTTATAATGTAATACCTGCTGGATTTGTTCACCTTTGTCATGATGAGGTTACATTTCAGAAGCTGTGGTTGCAAAACAAAAGTTGACTTTCTTCTTTGGGTAAAAAAAATTGTAGATTGTGGTAAGCTGAATCAATTGTGAAAGAAAATGTCTCTTTGCTCATTCCTATGCCCTAACACTACGTCGCTACCACCATTACGTGAATGGTTTAACTTGTATTGCTGTTTAAGTTGAACAGTTTATAGTTTTTATACACCGGATTTCATTCTATCTGAACGCTGTATTAAGTGAAAGCAAATGTTTTCTTTGCTCATACTCAAGTCCTAACGCCACCATTGGTGAAGTTTATATACTGATGAATTTCATTTAATCAAAATGCAGTATTTAGATAGGCCTGGAATATGTTTCTGCTCTCGCACAACGTACGATGATAATGCCATAACTAATGCTGTTGAGATACACACATCTCCCAGGTACACATGCACTCTTACGAGTCTTATCTATGAAAAAATTGGTTTTGTTTGAATGAGACTAAGCTTAGTATTTTTTTCGTTATCAGTGGTGCACTTCATTTTATAGCTTCAAATAATGATTGTGGTGTAAGAGCTTTTGATATGGAGAAGTTTCAACTTTCGAAGCATTTCCGGTTTCCGTGGCCAGTGAATGTAAGCGCATTGTGTGTGGACTTTATATATATTGTGCATATGTGAATATGTTAATCTAGGGTTTAAACTAGACGTGGGAGTACGGTTCAAGTGCTATATTGCTACCAAATCGTCGTAACTGGTTATAATAAGAACTCACATTAAATTCCTCGCGCAGAAATGTGACTGCACATGTGTTCTAAAGACACTATCATCATCATCATTATTATTTTAAGTCAGCACTTTTATTGTATAAATTTAGTTACATGTCTAAGTTAACGCAGAAAAGCATCACGACAATGGTTTAGCTGGCGCATATGTATCATTGAATATCTTATTGACTGAGAAATATATACTCTCCGTCCCTTATCACATAGCTGGCCTTCTTTCCTTTTTTTATTGTGCCAAAAACTTTGCTACTTTACCTTTTTAAGAAATTAATTTGTGGTTCCTATTATTTCATTCTTCTCCCCTACATAACTCTGAACCACACAGTTTTTACTTTATTATCTATGTGATGGTCAAACTTGTCAAAGTTATAAGGGACAAAGAGAGATTTTTTTTTAAATTGTCCTAAATAGAGTAAAACGTTTTGCAATTCCAAAGCAGGAGCACTATGTTTTTTATTTCCTAAATAGAAGTAGTTACTACGATGCTTGGAAAGTATTGCCAAATATGGTAGTATAGTGCCATATTTTAAAGTCTGGTAATGTCAAAATATGGCAGCAAATTTTCAAGGATGATGATAATAACACTCTTATTTAGTAGAAAACATAATACTCCTATTTTGTAATTTTACACTGTTTTTACTCCTATTTCAAGAATTTCCCCCTTTTTTATTTTATTTATTTATTTTGAGAATAAGGCTTGGATGTTATTGTTGTTTATCTTTCTTTCTCATCTGCAGCACACAGCTTTGAGCCCTGATGGAAAACTGCTTATTATAGTAGGAGATAACCCAGATGGTCTGCTGGTTGACTCTAGAACTGGAAAGGTCAGGCACTTGGTCCCGCCCATAATGGTTGAAATACTGCATTTTGTTGAATTTCTTGACAAGAAATAATAATTATTAAATAACAGGTTGTGGCACCTTTGGAAGGACATCTGGACTATTCGTTTGCATCATCATGGCATCCCGACGGTTTGACATTTGCAACGGGAAACCAGGACAGGACCTGCAGAGTGTGGGATGTGCGGAACATGTCCAAGTCAGTTTCGGCTCTGAAGGGCAACCTGGGAGCCATTCGGTCCATACGCTATTCGTCCGATGGGAGATTCATGGCCATGGCAGAGCCTGCAGATTTCGTTCATGTATTTGATGTCAAGAGTGGTTATGAGAAGGAGCAAGAGATAGACTTCTTTGGGGAAATATCAGGGATGTCCTTTAGTCCTGATACGGAGTCCCTTTTCATTGGGGTTTGGGATCGCACTTACGGAAGCCTGCTTGAGTTTGGACGGCGTCACAACTACTCCTACCTAGATACGATCATCTAATCACTTATCCATGCTCATTGGTGTGACTTTGTTTGATCCTCCCTTCTAATAGTGCAACTATCAACCAGTCCACAGCCGACTTCCTATATAGTATAAATTGCTGCTGCACAAATAGGCGGCAGAATTCAGCAGCTGTAAAATTTCTTATGTTGTGCGTTGTTGGCTTTTTTTAAACATCAAATTGTTTATGACCTTCGGCCATAAATGTGTAGAATGTGGGCGGAATGTATAGAAGGCCAGACAAACTCCTTTCATATGGGATGACAAGAACATAAAAATAGTGAGGGATTTGTCGGACTCTAAACCTTTGTTGGGATTGATGACTGCATTTATCAATCAATTATTAAAGCAATTATGATTTTGCATTGTTGAATCTGTTGGGGCGTGTTCCTTCATGTGTCTCCATCTTAAAATTGACAAGTGAGAGCTGTCTAGGTGGATCACATGTCAGAAGCTTTTGAGTGTAAGATGAGCGGACGGCTGAGCAAATCAATGAAGAAGAGGAAGAAGATGTCACACCATGCGTTCAATCAGTGTTCTCCCGAGCCGAGTTCTAAGCTAGGCAATAGCCTATGAAGGATACCTAACCAGAAGCCAAATCATTTGAAGTTTTGAACGAATGGTGAAACTAAGCTAGGCTCAGGCGTAATGTTAGAGTTGAGGGCTTTGCCCTTGTAACAGGGCGTCCAAGGTAATAATACTTCACTTGGCCAGCATGACGAGTAATTAGGTAAGAAGATGCTATGGTATGAGATCATAGGTTATAGGTGAGGGCAACCTCTGAAAGAGGAGGGCTCAGCGGCTCAACCAAGATACTAAGCGGCCCGATGAGGCTAGTATCGATCACCAACTTTGTCTTGCCTTGTCACCAGCCTTGATGGGGATCAAATGCATCTGTAATGTGTATAATCCGCACCTGGAATGGGTTATCCTCACCATATTAAACTCAACATTAACGCTCTGTGTAGGCAAGTTGATAAAAAAAAATAGTCATTCCATCAACCTTGTCTCAAGGAAGTTATATGTTGTCTAAGGACCGTGGAGCCATGTTGTGGGTCCAAACCCTGAGCATCTCTATCACCAACTATCCAAAGCAAGAAACAACCGTTAGAACCAAAGCCACATTAAAGCTGAATTCTAGGCCTAAGCCGTACACTAACGATACCCTATAGTGCACTTAACACGACATAACAATATTTTTCATATATGGGAGTAACAACTATTTCGGGAAAAAAAACATAGTAGTCCTATTTTGGAATTTCAAATTTCATTTAGTCCTATTTAGAACAACTTCCCTTTCTTTTATTAGCCTCCTACTCTTGAAACGCGCGACCTTTACTCTTCAACCATTCTCCTGTTCTTCCAAATCAAATACTACCTCCGTCCCCCTAAATTTGGGACAAAGGAGTGTGGTGTGATTTTTTAGAAGAAGTAGAATTGTGTGGTTGATATTGAATTGATAAAGTGTGAATAAAGTAAGAATGGATTCTAACCACTCAAATATTACCTAATAAGGTATGAGACAAAATTAATGGGACAGACGGAAAAGGTAAAGCGGGACAAACATAGGCTGCGTTTGTTTTTCGGCGGATTCTTGCCTACCCGCTGCAAATTGCAGCGGTTTGCAGTTCAAAACAATCAGCGGATTGCTCAAACCGCTGCTATCCAAACGGGGCCATAGGGGGACGGAGGGAGTAGCTCCCATGAGTTCACTCCTCAAACCTTATACCAATGTGGGAACATGTATGTCACTTGAGTATTCTCGAAATACTCATCTTGGTGCTTCCTTGAGATATTAAGGGTTATTCACATTCCACTGAATCATTTTCAACTATTTGTATTTCAATGGATATCTCAAAACATTTTCAAACTTGCTTTTATTGTTATTCATGGTCAAACTCAATTGGTATCAATTGCCAAACATCTTATTGTGCGATGATATCTGCGTAACACTAGGGGTGGACCGGTTCCGGTTCGGGCCTGGGCCCGACCGGGCCTCGATTCAGAAAAATGAGGCCCGAGCCCGAACCGTTGGTGGGCGGTTCCGGGCCAGACCGGGCCGGGCCGGGCCACCCGGATTTTTAATTTTAATTTTTTGTTCTTCTTCTCTTATTCAACCCCCTACCCCTCCCTCTCCACCCCAAACCACCTCAAATGGCCCAAAATACCTAATCCAACCCAAAACTTAAAAAAATTTCAAAAAAAAAAAAATAAATTCCAGCCAGAACCGGGCCCGGCCGGGCCGGGCCGGTTCACTAAACTGGAGGCCCGGGCCCGGACCGCTATACCACCGGGCCGGGAGGCCCGAACCGGTTCACCGGGGTGGTCCGGGCCCGCACAGTAGCGGGCCGGTCCGGTTCCGGGCCGGTTGGCTCGGCCCGAGTCCATCCCTACGTAACACTTGCAAGGGGAAAGGAGATCACATGTTCGAAACTCATCCCAATCAAGGATGTTGACATTTAATAAAACAAATACTACAATATGTGAACACTTTTCTTATTTTATACTCGTTTGAGTAATAGAGTCTAGAATGGACACCTCAATGTGTAAGTGTATGCGTATGTTTTTTTTACAATGTGTAAAAAAATAACATATATGTAAGTATATATGTAAGTAGTGTGAATTTTTTACGAAAATTAAAGTGCATATAAATCAGAGTGCAAGTAAATAACATAAGCAAAGGAAGAAAATAAATCGGGAGGTACTTATAGCAAAGTCGACCATCTCAGAAGACAATTACAACACGACACGTGCTCAAAGAAACGGGTCGGGAGGAACACACGTCGATAAGAGATGAGACATCACCATCATAAACGCTACCTTGAGCCCCAAAAAACAACTGTCAGACAATCATGATGCCCTAGTACTACATATTCTCAATGTTGGGCGAGTGTGTTGCTCAACAAAGATCAGAGGGAAAACTGTCAAATAGGTCCTCGAACTTTCTTAAAAAGGTCAATTAAGTCCTTCTATAGCAGGTTTTGTCCGGCCGTCGCGATTTGGGGCAGTTCCCGGTGGATTTTTTTGATGAATTTTTTTGAGCATCTTATTCACCAAGTCTAGTTTACTCATACTAAATTTCAGCTAAAAATTCAATCGGGAACACATTCAAATTAGTTCTTGAAGATAACTGCGCATTTTTGCGTTCTTGAATTAATTTGAATGCGCTCCCGATTAAATTTTTAGCTTAAATTTGGTATGAGTAAACTAGACTTGATGAATAAGATGCTCAAAAAATTTCATCAAAAAATTCCACCGGGAACCGCCCCAAATCGCGACGACCGGACAAAGTCTCCTATAGAAGGACTTAATTGACTTTTTTATGAAAGTTCGAGGACCTATTTGACAGTTTTCCCAAGATCAGAATATCAGAAGATCAGGGAGAGAAATATGGAAGGAAATAAGCAGAAGATCAGGGAGAGAAATATAGTCTGAATACTTAGTGAGAAAGATGTTATTAGAAGTGTGATAATGGTGTTTAAGAAGTGTGTTAATTACAATGGAGAAGCCTCCTATTTATAGGAGAAAAGTTAAGCTTCATAGGATTAGAGGATAATTGTGAACCACACAATTATCATCTAGAATCATAATTATGATTTCCTGATTATTTATGTAATGGTGATAATAATTCCTAATCAGGAATAGTTGGAAGATGACTAATTCAATTATATTTCAACACTCCCCCTTGAATGGTCATCTTCTAATTATTCTGGGGTATTAGATTCATAGTATTATAATGTACTGTCTCGTTAAAAACCTTTGTCAAGAAAAACCCAGTGGGATAAAAACTTGACGAAGGGAAAAAGAGTGCAGTGCATTATATTACTCCCCCTCAATTTAACATATATCTCGAAGACGATACATTCCAATTTTATGGACCAGTTCTTCAAATTTCTTCGGTGCCAATGACTTTGTGAACAGATCAGCAGGGTTGTCGCATGACTTGATTTGTTTGACATCAACCGTTCCGTCTTTCTCAAGATCATGTGTGGAGAAAAGTTTTGGTGCTATATGCTTTGTTCTGTCCCCTTTGATGTAACCTCCTTTGATCTGAGCTATACATGATGTATTATCTTCATAAATCACAGTAGGATTAGAAGTAAAAGACTTTATACCGCATTCATTTTGTATGTGCTGGATCATTGATCTCAACCAGACACACTCACGACCTGCTTCATAAAGAGCAATTAATTCTGCATGATTGGATGATGTTGCAGTTAATGTTTGCTTCATTGATCTCCATGATATAGCGGTATCACCATAGGTGAATAAATATCCTGTTTGTGATTTTGCCTTTTGTGGATCAGACAAGTATCCTGCATCCGCGTAGCCAATTAAAGTGGCATTTGCACCATTCTTGAAATACAATCCAAGATCGATTGTACCATTGAGATATCGGAATATATGTTTGACACCATTCCAATGCCTTCTTGTTGGGGAAGAACTGTACCTGGCTAATAAATTTACAGAAAAAGCAATATCTGGTCGAGTATTATTAGCCAAATAAATTAATGCTCCAATATCACTCAAATATGGTATTTCGGGACCAAGGATTTCTTCATCATCTTCACAAGGTCGGAAAGGATCATCATGCACATTGAGAGATCGAACCACCATTGGAGAATTGAGCGGATGTGCTTTATCCATGTAAAATCGCTTCAAAAGTTTCTCAGTATAATTTGATTGGTGGATGAAAATACCATTTCTCAAATGTTCAATTTGAATGCCGAGACAAAATTTTGTTCTCCCAAGGTCTTTCATTTCAAATTCTTTCATGAGATATTTTGCAGTATTTTCAATTTCATTGGGAGTTCCGAATATATTCAAATCATCAACATATACTGCAATTATGGCGAATCCTGATTCGGATCGCTGAATGAAAACACATGGACTAATAGGATCATTTTTATACCCTTCTTTAATCAAATATTCACTGAGACGGTTATACCACATGCGTCCAGATTGTTTTAATCCATATAATGACTTTTGCAATTTTATGGAAAATAAATCTCGAGATTTCGAGCTATAAGCATCAGGTATTTTAAAGCCTCCAGGAATTCTCATATATATGTCTGTATCGAGTGAACCGTATAAATATGCGGTCACCACATCCATGAGGCGCATTTGCAGCCTTTCAAAAACAGACATGCCAATTAAAAATCTTAAAGTTGTAGCATCAACTACTGGAGAATACGTCTCATCATAATCGATTCCTGGCATTTGAGAAAAACCTTGGGCAACAAGTCGGGCTTTGTATCTAACGATTTCATTTTTCTCGTTGCGTTTACGCACAAAAACCCATTTAAAACCGACAGGTTTTACGCCTTTTGGCGTATGGACAATTGGTCCAAAAACATTACGCTTTTCTAGCGATTTTAATTCTACCTGAATTGCTTCATTCCATTTTGGCCAATCATTTCTACGACGACATTCGTCAATAGATTTAGGCTCATTGTCATCGTGTTCATTCATTATATCTGTGGCGATGGCATATGAAAATATATCATTAACATCAATATCATTTCTATTCCATTGTATTCCATTAGAAACGTAATTAATTGAAATTTCAAAATTATCGACGTTTCTATCTTTATCTGGAATATTTACCTCTTCGAAGGTGATTGAATCCTCTTTTGAGGTATCATTATTATTGATGTTATCTTCAAGGCCGATATTTTCAAAATGTTCATTTTCTTCTTGAGAAGGTTGAACTTCTTTGGCATCACAAACTACAACTTGTTGTTTAAATTTTCTTGGTTTCAAATCTCTTGAACCAAGTGGTCTACCACGTTTTTTACGTATCATAGATTCATTAGCAAGTGTTCTTTCGCTAATCTCCGCATGAATTTCTATTCGAGAAGGAGCATTCATAGCTGGAACATGTGACTTTGTTACTTTCTTTGAGTCTGTGAAAGCATCAGGCAATTGGTTTGCAACATTTTGTAAATGAATAATCTTTTGAATTTCTTGTTCACAAGCATTTGTGCGAGAATCAAGAAAAGATAAATTTGTTGCATTCCAAGTAATATCTTTCGTACGTGGGTCCATTTCTTTAATATCTCCCCCTAAGGTTGGGAATACTGTCTCATCAAAATGACAGTCATCGAACCGCGCGGTGAATAAGTCACCGGTCATAGGTTCTAGATAATTAATAATTGAGGGTGATTTAAAACCAACATAAATTCTCAGCCTTCTTTGAGGACCCATTTTAGTACGATAAGGTGGAGCAATTGGTACATACACAGAACAACCAAATATTTTTAGGTGTGATATATTTGGTTCTTTACCAGATATTAATTGTAATTGGGAAAATTTATGATATGCCGTTGGCCTAAGCCGAATTAAATTTGCAGCATGCATTATAGCATATCCCCATGCAGATGATGGTAATCTGGATTTCATCAATAATGGTCTAGCAATTAATTGTAATCGCTTAATTAAGGATTCGGCAAGACCATTTTGTGTATGTACATGTGGAACTGGATGTTCCACATCAATCCCAATTGACATGCAATAGTCATTAAAAGATTGGGATGTAAATTCTCCTGCATTATCAAGTCGGATTTTCTTTATCGAATAATCCGGAAATTGTGATCTCAAACGAATAATTTGAGCAAGAAGATTTGCAAATGCAAAATTTCTAGTCGATAAAAGACTGACATGTGACCAACGTGTTGATGCATCAATGAGCACCATAAAATATCGAAACGGTCCACACGGAGGGGTAATTGGCCCACAAATATCTCCTTGAATTCTTTCTAAAAATGCAGGAGATTCAACTCCAATTTTGTATAAAGATGGCCTGATAATTAATTTGCCAAGAGAACAGGCAGTGCACGGAAAATCACTTGATTGTGGAATCTTGTCATTAGTTAATGAATTTCCACGTGAATTTTCAATAATTTTGTGCATCATAGTGCTGCCTGGATGACCTAAACGGTCATGCCACAAGATAAAGGAATTGTGGTCATAAATTTTAGATACCACATTTATCTCAATTGGACTGATATATGTATAATACAGTCCCGAGGAATATGCTGGCATTTTTTCAGAAATGTATTTATTGCCAGATCTATTTGTCGTTAGACATAAATATTCCTTCTGATTTTCAGACATGGTTTCAATATGAAAACCATTTAGACGCAAATCTTTAAAGCTCAAAAGATTTCTCCGTGATTTACGGGAGTATAAAGCGTCTTTAATTATTAATTTTGTCCTTTTTGGGAGAATCACACAGGCTATTCCAGAACCTTCAATGAGTTTAGCAACACCTGAGATTGTATTGACATTAGCATCAACTAATGTCATATGAGAAAAATAATCTCTATGTCTCAAAATGGTGTGCGTTGTGGCACTGTCTATTAGACATTGTTCAGAGCCACTTGGAGAAATTTTAGTTAACTCCATATCTTCGCGAAGATAAAAATGAACAAATATTAGTTCAATATTGTAATATAAAGTGTACTTCACTTAATAGTACATTTAATTGTGCATAATTTTCACGTTAAAAATAAGCACTATAAAATTTTATTTTGAAATATACTCCCGTCAAGGAGAAAATAAAGTGAGGTACTATATTCTGACTTTTAATAAGAGAAGTAATTAAGATGACATATTTACTTCTTATTAATTCAATTCTACCTCATCATTTTGGGTCAAAAACAATCATGAGTGTTGTTATATATAGGGGGTTATTCCCGGTTTCGACAGAAACGTACATAATAACCGTTTGGATGAAGTTACTGTCATACCAATTGTTAAGGGGTCCATCTTAACAATAAGAGACCTTGCAACTTGATAACCAAAGGTCCCTAAAGTACAAAACTTATGTTGATAGTTTTTCGTTGAAAGATTGTTTTGATGAAAAACCCTAATGAAAGGTATTTTATAGTTTAGTAACTAAATCGCTTTGATGGATAAATTGTTGTCTTGGATTTAACAATATACATACTCGGTATTACACAACAGTCCATTTCTCAAGTAATTTTAGTTCATCCGTTTTTTAAACTTTAACGAGATGGAACAACATGCTGTTTTTGGGTTCACTTTCGGTGAATGAAAACCAAATAAGGGAGTAATAATAAACATCCATAATGTCAAGACAAGTCCAAAATTATTGATGTCTTAGTTCGGAGTAGTCAATACATATACATACATGCTATGTACTCCGTATTATATAAACTCATAACTCAATTTAGTATAATTACTATAAACATACATATTGGGAATTTTGAAACAAAACAAATTAAACCCATCAAGGAAGATTTTATTGCTCCATACGTATAGTAGTATTATTTAAAGACTAACAAAGCAGTACTCCGTATAAATTAGTTTTATTTGTAGGTAAAAGAAATTTGAATTAGGACCCACTTCAAAGATATAATGGCTATGTAAATTAATGATCATGTGATGTGTCATACACTCTGCATTGTACTACATATGAGAACAAAAAAAAATGTCTAATATGCAGTAATGTTACAGACCCGTGAGTTGGTTTCATGGATATATATTACATATACTGCGTATTATCTTCGATCCTCACATACATATATTTATTATACTAGTATCAATTATGTGAGTGTCTTCACAAAGGAAGGAGACAAGTAAAATAAATGCTCTTATCTACTTGTATGGACCGTGACTGACTACCAGCTATATTTGTTTATACATCAATTCAATGATGTTCGAATATATAGCAAGCAACTTTCTAATTTTCTCTCATCACCTCTCTTCTTCTTACTTTATATATATATATATATAATTTTTTAATACTTCGTATGCTTAAGCTCATACATGAGCTGTCTCCACACATATGAGTATATGACATATGGAGTAATAAGCATACGGAGTACGTGTATAAAAGTAGATGCATATCTATGGTTCTTATCAACAGTTCATGTTATCTTTTGTAAAATACGCAAGTGCTATTTTCTTCTTCTTTGTAGTTTAGAATTTCCGAGACATGAGATAGTAAAGAGCAAAAGGAGTTGGAGAAAAAAAAACAGATACTTCACAGTTCGAACTCCATATTTTACAAGGTAAGTTTTATTTCTTCATTAATCCAATAAATAATACTACCTCCTAAACATCATATTATCATATATGAAGTATATATATTTATATATATACATATTTAAGTGAGAATCAAGACGTGATGTAAATTCATCATATCCGGAAGTAAAAGTTAAGATTTTAATCAAGGAGTAGTATATTTAAAAATAATACTGATTAAATGTATGTTTAATTGTTTATCCTTTTTCCCTTCATCTTTGTTTAGAGAAAATATATCTATAATTTTCTGATATGGAGGATCCCTATTCTTGGGCAACCATAGAGCATACTTCTTATAGTTTTGAATATATATAAGCATGGTCATACTTCTCAACCTCTGTTTTTCTTTTCAGGTGAATTGATAAATTCCAGAAAGTATATACCTGCTAGGAAGATGGTGATTTCAGGGATTTGGAGCAAATTCGTGCTGATAACGTGTTATAATATGGAAGGAAATAAGCAGAAGATCAGGGAGAGAAATATAGTCTGAATACTTAGTGAGAAAGATGTTATTAGAAGTGTGATAATGGTGTTTAAGAAGTGTGTTAATTACAATGGAGAAGCCTCCTATTTATAGGAGAAAAGTTAAGCTTCATAGGATTAGAGGATAATTGTGAACCACACAATTATCATCTAGAATCATAATTATGATTTCCTGATTATTTATGTAATGGTGATTATTTACCCCTACCTTACCTCCCAAAGGTACAAAAACCAAAACTGCGCACACTTGAAGCCGGGGAGGATTTTGAAGTCGGGGAGGACTTAGAAAGGGGCAGAGCCTGAGAGTCCCGCATGAAGGACCAAAGGAGAGAGCGAGCGCCCCCAACCAGGCTATGTGGTGCCCACAAAAGAGTGAGCCTCATGACATCTACATTCCGAAAATAGACACTCGACCTGGATGGAAGTCAAACAGTCTTGCCATTTGTGCATGTGGTGCTAAGAGCAGTACAGCCCACGCCAAGGTAATTGGAGGGAAACGTTAAATAGGAGGGAAGAACATTTTAATTCAAAGGATATGACAGGATTTGGCAATGGGGTGGCTCCGCCAATAGAAAGGAGGCACATCATCGAACACAACTACCCGGACTTGCTATAAATACCTCCTCATAACTCGGAATATAAAAGGGGTTGGTTTCCAGCATTCAACAGGATTTAATATCCTTTAATGTAAACCAAGGATAGAGCAAAGGCACTGAGCCGATACAGACAGAGATTTTGTTATGGAAAAAAAATTACAATAATTTTTTTACCTTAACAATTAAAGAATTTTTAAAATTACGAGTGAGCCAAGGCCTAGGTTGGCCACCCTCTAGCTCTGCCCCTGATGTAAACACTACGATAGCGATTGATAAAGCAAAATACGTCTTGATCGTGCATTCAACTTATATTTCTGAACATCCCGAGTCACTAATCACGAAAGGCATCGTGTTAGACCTTTTGGTTGAGGGAATTAACCTCAACAACCATTTTACCCAGAATAGAACCATGCACGCTCCATGGTGAATACCTGGAAGTCAATTAAGCATTGACCAATTTACTGCCCAAGCATAACTTGTTGCTGCCCTGCCATTAAACCAGCATAGTAAGAAGTGCAAAACATGGTAGAAACACACAATCGCCTTGTCTTTTTATTTACTCAAATATTAGAGAGAAGTAGAAATTACACATTGCTCGAGCTGTAGAAAATCTGTTCATGGAGAGGCTACTTTTATTAGGGTGAGCATAGGGTATGTGAGCGAATTACAATTACAGGTCAAATGTGGATATGAGCCAACCAGCCTTCTAACTCTAAGGGTGGCCAGTAATTTAATTATTGTTGTTGAAGTTTTAAAAAGCACATGTATCTATCAAACCATCACATCCCCACAGGGTTAATGGTAATGCACGTCCATTATCTGTTAGATAAGATCCTCAAAAGTCTAATCCCCGGAAAAAATCAACATAAGAACCTTGTCCGCTGCATCCAACAAGAACACATGTTAATTAAAAATCCATTGGCCTTCACTGCTCAACATACTTGTACATGTAAGAGAAATTCAGAAGCTTAAATTATTAACGCCATTATGGATCTTCTGGGTCACATAATAAAATAGATATGCTTTATGTATGGGGACATTTATATGGAACTGCATCACAAGTAGTTATGTTTCCCATGTACTAAGTTTCAACAACAGTGGCAAAGTTTTATAGTGGATGACCTTTTATGGCCACCTTATTCAAAAGGAGGCGAAATAACAGATGAAATCGCAAATGAAGTTGTTATCATAGATTTTTTCCCACTTGCACGAGAAATAATAGGATTCGAATGACAAATGAGTTGGGGCAGCCATCATGAATTAATTCGGGAGCGCATTCAAATTAATTCGAGAACGCAAAAATGCACAGTTATCTTCAAGAATTAATTTAAATGTGTTCCTGATTGAATTTTTAGCTGAAATTTGGTATGAGTAAACTAGACTTGGCGAATAAGATGCTCAAAAAAATTCATCAAAAAATTCCACCGGGAACCGCCCCAAATCGCGACGACCGGACAGAGTCTCCTATAGAAGGACTTAATTGACTTTTTTATGAAAGTTCGAGGACCTATTTGACAGTTTTCCCAATAAAATTCAACTATATGTACGTCCAAAATCATATGTTCCTCAAAAAAAAAGTATTAAGACACAAGGTTTTAATCTAAACAACTAATGACCAAAAGCATAATCTCATTTTTTTCAGGGTTCACATACTTGAATTCGGGATTCTCGTATATTCTCCAGCAACTCTGTAATTTCAACCTGCTTCATTGACGTGCTATGCAGCACCTGTCGATTACATAAACATCATCATTATCATCAACTGGCCCACAGAACTAAACATGAAACATGATATATACATGTAGATCAAGAATTCTTACTCTCTTTGTCTTTTCTAGATCACATTCTACAGACTTGATCCTGTCTAAGGATTGGTTCAACATATGCTCCTTCTCCAATGGCATCTCAGGAGGCTTCTTACGTAGCTCTTCGATTAATTGTTCAAGCCTCTGAAGGCGTTGAATACACGGATGGGGCTGGTCTTCTTCACTATTAGCATTGTTATGGCTGCTAGGTGAATAACCATCATGATTCTCTTCCAATGCAATGGAAGGATATATGCCAGTCTGTCTTCTCCAGGCCTCAAAAGGAAGAGTCCTGATAATTGCAAACAGTTTGAGTGCCAAAGATATCACTGTTCTTGTCAGATGGATGAAACATCTCCTTACAAGCCTCTCTTTGCTGGACTCTGGACCATATATAAATCATCAAGTACAGAATTTACTACTGATATTTACACTCTTGAGCTACAAAGGTGAACTAAATTCAGCTTACATCAACGAATACCTTAATTAAGGGCATCCAAATTCATTACTTAAAAGTAGGGATCCACAACAGGCTGGGTTGGGTCATTATCAACTAGGCCCTGCCTATTAAGTTGTGTCTAACAGGTTGGACCAGCCTTGCCCAGAGCCAGCTATAAGGGTTGTCCCTAGATGGGATCTACACATGCAAAAGATATTGGACCAAGGCTTGGATGTTGTAGATATTTTGGCTTGAAAATATGATGGAATAAAGCAAGATGACTCACTAAACTGTCTGCACTTCTTTGTTATGAAGCAGCGGCCAATCCATGCCATTTTGGATGCGATTCTCACTATGGGTCATCCGGACCAAGGCTTGGATGTTATGCGATTCTCTCTGTGCTTTAGTACAGGGGTAAGAATGCGTACGTCCAAACCCCCCTTATCCCACCGTAGGTGGGAGCCTTTGCGGCACCGGGGTAAATGAGCCTTTGCGTACATCCAAACCCCCCTCTATTATCAACTCAAAATATCTACAACATCCAAGCCTTGTTCCAATATCTTTTGGATACAAAGAGATCGATTGTCCTCATGAATATCCTCCCTCCACTTCGCTCTCTCCAAAATATCAAACACAAAAAATGAAATAAAAAATAAAAAACTGACCATAAAATTCAACAGCCACTGTAATTTTATTATTCTGTATATAAGAGGTCCTGGGCTAGCAAGATTAGATCATAGAAGTAAGCAATAGAGGGACAGTATACAAATTTAATACATATTCAGAAAAATGTCAAAATGGTACATCAACCGGTCTCCTCTAGCATAAAGAGCACTGTTGCACTTGTCAATTCCGGATAGCAGAGCAGCCTACCCCGAAAACGCTATAGTCATATAGAGGAAAGGTTATGACCGCTATTGGGATAACATTTATACAGAATACAAGATTATATGTATACATATAATTACATACAGTAGGCTCCACACTAAACAAACTTCGAGACTAGAGGTAGATGACTTGGAAGAGTTGAAAGTAGAAGAACAGTAGTAGTCGAAAGTATTGACCCGAAGCAAGGTCTCTCTGGCTGTCGTCAAATATTTTCTGTTTGAAATTAGTATTTTGAGCCACGACGCTGGTTGTCGAAAAAAGCAGAACAGAGATGACTAAGAACGATATTTTAGAAAGATGGGATGAGTATAATATACCTGGAAGTGTTTTAGTAGGGTTATTTTTATTCTAAAAAAGCGTAATTCACACAGCTCAGAAGTTCTATGTCCGCCACAGGCTTACAGCCAAACACTCTGCTACAAAGGTTCTAGTAGCGCCCAGCCACTCTGCTATAGCGCACTATTGACTTCACTGATAAAGAACATCATTTTGCACCGTATACTTGTTTTGTTAGGTGTTGATAGAATACATTTGTTGCTTCAATGTTACCAAGCGCTTAGGTGGCTGTTTCTTTTATGAGAAAAAAGTAAAAATAGTGCATCAACTAGTCTCATGTAGCATAAGAGTACATTATTATGCAATATACTCTGCAGACTACGTTAACAATGTTCATACAATGTTTATGGTAAAAGACTTATACTAAGATCATAAGAGCATGCAAAACAATGTTCATACAACTATAACTGATCCAATCGCAAGCCATAGGAATACACATAAAGTCAGTCACCCATGAAAAAACAACCTGACTCCCTAGACACAAAACGGGCAAACATAAGCCTAAAACGATCGAATTAGGGGAAATTACCCTAAATAGGACTAAAAACGTTTGTATATTCCAAAATAGGACTATTGTGTTTTTTCTCTTTAAATAGTAATTACCGCCATGTTTTGGCGGCACAAGCTGATAGAAGCAGAAAAAGAAACCCTAGCAGACGGTGTTAACGACTGCCCAGCCTTAGGCTCAAACCAAATCTTTATTCTCGATAATGAATAATAGTTCACAAGACCTCCTTAAATACTCCTTAACCTAATAATAAAATATGGCCATCTAGGCCCATTAACCTAATAATAAAATATGACCATATAGGCCCAACAGTTTATTAGACATAACAATAGACTGAAATAAAGTAATGAAACCCAGCAGTCAACCCAGCCCAATTAGGTCCACTGACAGCAACCCATAAACTAATAATGGGCGGGGCCCGTCCTCCTGAAGCATTGGCCCGTTTGCCTCCTAGAGCCTCGGCCCATCTGCCTCCCACTCCCTAACAATTTCCTCCCCCTCCAAAACAACCTTGTCCCCAAGGTTGGAGTGAAGAAGCTGCTGCTTGTTTCTCCTTCTGTTCCCCTAGCTGCTCAACCTCTTCGGGCGGGATAAAGATTCAGTTTGATTGAGGTCGAGTTCCTCATCTTCCTCGACAACCATTACTCTTAACTGTTTTTGGGGACATTCATGCGTGGGGGTATAGGGCTTCTTGCAATGGAAACAAAGCCCTTTTGCACGTGGGTCTGCAAATTCCTGCGGTGAGAGGCGTGTGAACCGAGAGCAATTCTCCGACTGGCCAGTCATGGCTGACCCGGACCCCGAGGTACTACCTGGAGATCGCGAGGAAGTTGTGCTTCCTGCTGCCCCTTGGTTTCCAGTAACTGGCGTGGAAGAGAGCCCCGAAAACCCGCCAACTTTGGTGTAATTACTGGAACGGCACTGCTGATTGTCGTATCCCCATTCTGATCTCCCTCCGGACTGTACGGCCAAGTCTTCTTCGATATCTCTTGCTAACTCCATAGCAGCTTCCAAATCAGTTGGGCGTAGGATCCGTAAGGAACTGCGAATGGTGTCCCGTAGCCCTTTCATAAAGTACCCCAAGTAGTGGGCATCACTCAAACCTGGGACCTGACTGGCTAATTGCACGAACAAATTTACATAGTCATCCATGGATCCTGTCTGCTTAACGTCAGCCAACCGTTCGAACGTGCTCCCTTTGAACCGAGTATCAAAACGGGCTACAAGGGCTTGTGAAAACTCCTCCCAAGCTATGCCTGGTTTGCACGACCGTGTCCAAGAAAACCAGTACAAAGCAGGACCCTCCATTGCTACCATGGCTGACGCCACCTTCAACTCAGGTCGGGTCTGATGTATTTCAAACTGCTGATTGGCCCTGGCAAGCCATCCAATCGGGTCTGCCCCCTCAAACGCCGGTAGCGTCAGAGGCGCGGTCACAGACCTAGGATTGTGGGAGTTCTGCGAGTCAGCCGTGCCTCCTCCTCCTCCTGACTAAGAATCAGCCAGCGTCCCCCCCGACGCCATAACCTTCTGCGCCAGTTTGTCTAGGGTTTGCGTGATAGCATCCAACTTGGCGTTGGTGGATTGCAATTCTGCCTTGATGTCCTTCTGGTCTGCTTCTATCGCATCTATGTGTTGATCAATGATGGAACGAGTCATGATGAACGTAGGGCGGTGGATAGGATCCGGCAGGTCGGACCAAATTGATAGAAGCAGAAAAAGAAACCCTATAATATGAAGCAAACGGGGGCAGGAGGACGGCAGGATGGCACGATGGCCGCAGGCAGTGAGGGGGGTGCGATTGAAGAAGAAAACGATCGGCAGGGGGACGCGATCGAAGGGAAACCGGGCCCAGGCCCTTGATTATTTACCAACGGCGAGGACGGGTCGGGCCCACATCC